TTCACAAACCAGAATACTGACACTGTGTTTGTAAATGTTCTGAAAATTATTTGAATACACATTTTTGTATCCATGTTTGTTGTCTTATTTTTTTTATGTCGTGTTGATTCTCACCGCTGCTGAAGTTAAAATTCAGGGGGAAATGAGTCAAGACACTCCAGGCTTAGATAATGGCTCGTATAGTACCTTAACAAATCCTTAATTAAGTCCAAACAGTCTTCACTTTAGAAAAGTTTACAAAAAAGTATTAACTACTGGTTGAACTAATCATCAATTAATGGTGTTACTTAGACATTTGTTAATCATTATCACATTCCTAAATAATTATGAAAATTTGATTATTGTTTCTCTGGAATTTGACCAACCTTAACAAATGCTTAATAAAGCATAATTAGTCTTCACTTTAGAAAAGCTCTCAAAAAGACTTAACTAACAGATAATAGCTGCCTGAATTATCATTGCATTGCATTATTAGTAAATCATTGTCTCATAGCTTACTAATCATCAATAAATGCTCAAATTTGTACTTAAGTATACATTTACAAATGCACACACAAATGCTGAGTTCATGAGTAATTAAGTATGAAATAATTATGAGTAACTATTTAGAGCACAGGCGAATTAAGTGGAAGTTAAGTGCTAATTAAGGTAGTAATTAAGTAGTTACTAAGTGTGACTCATGATTAATTAAGTCTTAGTTCATTATGAATTCAGTCTTTGTTCATGCTTTATTAAGGCTAAATAAGCTGTAGTTATTATAAAGTGTTACCCAAAATCTTATAATCTGACTTTAAATTAATCGATTGGTTTTAGAAATGTCTCATATGAAAGCTAAAACCCTCCCAAATTATGCTCAATATACTAAAATAAATTTGCTTCACTCAAGAAAGATTGATCATTTAATGAACACAGAACACAGATTTTGGCAAGACAAAAGTCTTGTCGCCTTGTCATATGATGCACCCAATCCTAGATTACAGCCTCACCTGTGATCAGTTACTGATCAATCAATTAGTGGGTGTGTATTAAAAGAACCCCAGCTCACCAGACCTTCACATCAACTGCAACTTGACCTCTGACAACATGCCTAAGATCCATCCTGAGACCAAAGCGTTAATTATCAAGAGGCTGAAGACCAGATCCACTGCTGAGGTGGTGACACCTTCAATGTGTCTCAGCGTCAAGTACAAAGAATAAGAAAAAGATCTGAAATGACTGTAGATGTTTTTGACAAGCCCAGGTCCGGCAGACCCCGCAAGACAACTGCTCGGGAGGACCGTTTGTTGATTCGAAAATCCAAGGACAGCCCCTTTTCCATTGCAGCAGACTCCACCAGGCCTGGTCACCTCAAGTCCCTGTGTCAACCACAACAGTTTGTAGAATTCTGTCTCGAAATGGCCTCCATGGTCGAATCAGTGCACAGAAACCAGCACTAAACAAAAGGCAATTAAAAAACCGTGTGGCATTTGCCAAGGCCCACAGCCTGCTAAAAGGATGGACACTGAAAAAGTGCCAGAAGGTGGATTTCTCAGATGAATCCTCAGTTGAATTACATCACAGCCCCCACAAATAATGCAGGAGACCTACTGGAGCCCACATGGATCCAAGATTCACCCAGAAAACAGTTAAGTTTGGTGGTGGAAAAATCCTGGTCTGGGGTTACATCCAGTATGGGGGTGTGTGAGACATTTGCAGGGTGGAAGGCAATATCAATAGCCTAAAATATCAAGAAGTATTAGCTACCTCTTACATTACCAACCATAAAAGGGGTCAAATTTTGCAGCAGGTTGGTGCTCCATCGCATACTTCTATCTCTACATCAAAGTTTCTCAAGGCGAAGAAGATCAGGGTGCTCCAGGACTGGCCAGCCCAGTCACCAGACATGAACATCATTGAGCAGGTCTGGGGTAGAATGAAAGAGGAAGCATGGAAGGCAAAACCAAAGAATCTTGATGAACTCTGGGAGGCATGTAAGACGCTTTCTTTGCTATTCCTGATGACTTCATCAACAAATTGTATGAATCATTGTCAAACTGCATGGATGTAGTCCTTCAAGCTCATGGAAGTCATACAAGATATTAAATGTGGATCTCACAGCACCACTACTTACTTCACTGACGTTATGCAACATATTTTTGTATTTGAAGTGAATTATTTGTTAAATTTTCTGTAGGCGACAAAACTTTTGTCTTGCCAAAATCTGACCTTTCTGTGTTCATTAAATGATCAATCTTTCTTCAGTGAAGCAAATTTATTTTAGTATATTGAGCATAATTTGGGAGGGTTTTAGCTTTTTCATATGAGACATTTCTAAAACCAATCGATTAATTTAAAGTCAGGTTATAAGCTTTTGTTTCTACAAAATGGATAAGCGACAAGACTTTTGTCAGGGACTCTATCTATCTATGCCTGTCTATGAAACTGATTTTTAATTATAACTGTAGAATCTTTAGTCATTAGTGAATTCCGGGACAGTAACAGTTTTGAGCCCTGTGTCCCCTGTCTCAGCAGATTTATACAAAACCACTGATTTGTCCCAGTTTAATACAAGAAATGTCCCAGGTGTCCTTATTTTTGACCAATCTGATTCCTGCCAACAATAAAAAGACATCAATTGTCATTTGTTTAGGACAATACAGAAAAGCTGCAAAAATTGACAGAAACACAAAGAAAATATGACTCACTACTGATGTTAGTTGTGAATGGGCCAAGTGCAAACAGAAAAAACGAAGAAACTTGAACAAAGTAAACCAAGTAGGGCAGTTTTTCTAGAGTAGAAAGGGAGGCAAGGTTTGTACAGCTATAACCCATTGGGCATAACAGGTAGTTTTTCTTAATTATGGACCTATTTCACAATTTCATTATTACCAACTATCACAAACTGGTTTTGAGTTTTTGATTTTGAAAATCGGGTCACCCTGGTGTAGGTGTCATTGGCCCTGTCCTCTGCCAATCAGAACCATTTTTACAGGCATAAAAACACAAAATGACCCACACATTTTATTGATGTAGGGAGCTTGTTTTTGCATTTTCCCAAAAAACCTTTAAAAATGCCTGACGCGGTTGTCCTAAGCACTTCCACTGCCTCTGTCTCTCCTACTCACATTGAGCGTCCTTGAACCTCATTTCTCCCTTTTGCATATACCCTTCCTAGCATCCTACTTCCTATCTCCTCCTGCCTTTCTCTCCTCTCCTCTCTCCTCCATCTGTCCAGTCACATGACCGCTCTGCAGAAGGGCCCCTGCCTGGCGTCTCACTGGCCGAGCGGAGGCGTGTGGACGCGGTTGGTCCGGTGAGTGGGCGGGGCTTGTGGTAGTGGCCCGCAGCTAAGAGCAGTGAGCTTGAATTAATGACAGAGGACAGGCAGGAGAGAGGAGCCTGTGCTTTCTCTAAAAGCTCACACAGACAAAGGAATCAGGGGAAATGGGTAAAGGGAGTACTGGAGTCAAATAAGCTGCAAATGACCTACTTTAAAATATGATATTGTATATATTCAATATTTAAATACTGATCTTTTCCACAACAGCCGGCTGGGTTAGGGTTGCCCGCTGTAGGTTTGTAGAACTTCCGGTTAATGGTTTTCTGTGGTAAAATGCGTGTGTAAATGTCTACCGTATTCACCAACAGCTTCGTAAGTCTGCCCCATCACCAAATCTTCAACCAATAAGCTTCACAAAAGATAAACATTCTTCCATGAAGAATTTATCCACAACTACCAAGGTTTTGGGGAAGCTGCTGCTCCTGCTGCTCCTGCTGTGTATGTTACTTGAGTTCGCACATGCTCAGTACAGCTCCAGTGTTGAGAAATAAGGATACTGCGTTTACATGCCTCATGCCTAGATCAGGAATCAGAATACACTAGATAGTTTGCAAGAACCCCGGAAAATGTAGACCGCACACCGACCAATCAGCTGTGAGCTGTGAAGCCATGACGTCAAACTCGTGGCATCTGTCTGGGTCCCTTTTGTGGAACAGCACAACAGTAAACAAAGCATCGACATGGAAGTAGACGAAGACAATCATTCTGTGTTGGCAACGATTCCCAAGATCGAGGATTTTTTAAAGCCGGAACAAAGAGAATGTTTGGTGAATTTTATCAAGGGGAAAGACGTTATTGTCCTTCTTCCTACAGGATTTGATGCATTACATACATCATGACCAAATAGCAGCGACTGTTTAAATAAAAAAGTACCGTCGAGTGAACAAATCCAAAACACTGCGAGGTCTGACGGTTTCCACGAAGTGAAAGAGGCTGATGAATCAGGCTATCAGTCTCCTGATACTGGCTCATCCAGGAGACTGACATCAGGATACTGTGTTTACATGGACATACACATAACGTAGGGTGACGAGATCTTCAAAATTCAAAACTGAGACACACCCGGGTTGGGATGGTTGGTATAAATATAATTGTGAAAAGAGCGTGTAACATTGTGCATTCTCGTGTCAGTCATAATTTGAGGGACTCCTGTCACTGCATTTTTTTGCTTTATGGTCATTTGCAAACACTTTTTTTTTTTATTTTGGCAAAACAAATGACAATTTTCCTCTTTACTGTTGGCAGGGATCAGATTATTCAAAAATTGTGATAGTCCTGTTTTAGAGTTGATGTAGTCCTGGTTTAGTCTTAGTTTCTTGCAGGTTTAGATCAAATTGGTCAAACACAGGGACAACTGGGACATTTCTTGATAAATCTGGGACAAATTAATAGTTTTGTATAAATCTGCTGGGACCGGGGACACAGGCTTCAAAACTGGGACTCTTCCGGGTAAATAGGAACGTCTGGTCACACTAACATAACCAGGACACGCCAAAAACCTGATCATAACTGGAATACTGGAGCACATGGAAACACTCTCTGTGGCATAACATATGATCAAAAATAAACACTGTGGTGAGGCATTACAGTCAGATACTAGCGGTGTACATGGACAATATGTACAGCGTGTGCCCTGTGTCCGTGGACCTGCTCATGGCGTGTTGCGTTAGTGCGGTGGTACCTGGGACTCATAGGGCAGGAAGGCGATGTTGATCTCAGTCAGGGTCTTGATGACTTTGGAGGTGCGGCTCTTCACCAGCTCGTTGAACAGGGGGTCGGGGCAGGCTGACGGGGCACACAGTTACACAAACATGATCAGGAGGCGAGTACTTACATTTACCAGCATACTTTTACTCTTAATTTTATGAAAGAAACAGTGCTCTTAAAAGTTTTGTTTCCTCTTCCCACCGTGAGTAAATTTATGTGGACAATAAGAAAAGATATGAAGATTAGTGTTTCTTGCAGCGCTCCTTCAAATATGATTTTGTTTTCTTGATTTTTATTCTTACTTGATCTATTTTTGAATGACTACTTTGTATACTTCAACTTGAGTACTATTATTTTCAAGTAATTGTACTCTTAAGGCACCACGCATTACAGGAGAATTTGCTCGATTTTGGCTGTAATTCTGGCTCCTCGTGTGTGTGGTGTCAGCGTGACTCTGAGCTACTTTGTAAGTAGTAATCACCAAACATCAGCAATTTTACAGGAACAGCCAATAAAACAGAGCATCAGGAGCAGACGGTGTGATGGACACAGATACAAATTCAGGATATCACGAAAATAATGAGACAATTCCTCACCTCTTGTAAAATTGTAAATTTAAAGTGCAGCATCTCATTCACATTATCCATAGAAACTGTCCTCCACAAATGACCCCAGTCCACAAAACTGCACTGTGAATCCAGTTTGAGGTGTTCTTTAAAAGTAAAAAGGTGGGAGTAGTTCCTCACGTGTGTCTGTTTACATCCACACAGCGCACGGATCGAGGTGAAGCTGCAGATTAGTGATAGTGACTCTACTTCCTGTGGACTTTATTATCTATCTTATATGCTTTAAAAATCCTGTATCTGAAGTTTTGCACCACATTTCATAAATAATAATCACACAGTTTTGACTTGTATCTAAACTAGAAGTGCAGAGCTCGGATCTTTTGAACACTTAAGAGTCTCATAGCGACTGGTTTTTCTGTAGACAGGAAACCGCTGACGCGATTACACTCACAACTTTATATCCTGTTTTCTGCAGACAGATCCCACTGCAGTCTTTGTGATCGGAGATTTTAAGTCTCATAAGATTCTCCTCCTGTCTGTGGTGTGCACTAGAGCCCTGCACAAAACCAACGCAAAACAGTGCGGCGCGGGACACATTTTGAAAGCTCATTGTGGACGCGGGCAGGAGAGGGACTGACCGCTCAATTTCATTTCTCTCCAGCGACTAGGTCAGGGATCAGAATACACTAGATGGTTTGCAAGAACCCTGGAAGTGGTAGATGGTGCACCAGCCAATCAGCTGTGAGCTCTGAAGTCATGACATCAAACTCAGGCTCCTGTCTGGGTCCCTTTTGTGGTACAACACAACAGTAAACAAAGCGTCGAGATGGATGTAGACGAAGACAGACATTCTGTGTTGGCAACGATTCCCGAGATCGAGGATTTAAAGCCGGAACAAAGAGAATGTTTGGTGAATTTTATCAAGGGGAAAGATGTTATTGTCCTTCTTTCTACAGGATTTGGTGCATTACATACGTCACGATCAAATAGCAGCGATTGGTTTAATAAAAAAAGTACCCGCCTACTGCCAAGCGAACAAATCTTAGTGCTGCGAGGTCAGACGTTTTCCACGAAGTGAAACCAGCTGATGAATCAGGCTACTAAGGTCACGCACATTTTAGACAATTCCTTTCTGCTTCTTCATGTTTGAAAGAGTTTAAGAAAGCGAACTTCCCCATCTTGTAGGATTTGCGGGTGGGAGTGAGACAAAATATCACAGATGCAGGAATGAAAATTAGATCTCTAGTGTGCACCTTTTGTCACACGTTAAAAAATCGTTGAAGACCAAAAAATGCTGTAGTGTGTGGCGGCCTTAACTTGAGAATTTTTCAGACTCTCTACCCATCGTTGCATCTTATTTAGAGCTGCTAACTATGTGTAATTTTCAGATTTTAGAATGATGATGTCAAACTCTCAAATGAAGGTCAAGTCTACATGTTGTCAACTAGACCATAGAACTCACTGTATTACAACAATAATCTGCATTTCATCCTTATTAGATATAATTGAAGAGTAGAATGACGTCATCTGAAACCTGGCAGCTCCTCGTGTGGTACTTACAGTCGGTGAAGAAGACGTGCGCTGCCTTGTATTTGGATGAGTGAGCATCTTTGAAGTCTCCAATAAGAGTGTGGACAGACTGGACAAAGAGCAGACAGCAGTCACATTAGATTAGGTTTACACAAACAAAACCAAAAGGAAAACATGATAACTATGCCTGATTGGTTACAAAAATGACAAAAGCATAACAGGAAATCACTAATCACTGTGCTTGCATTTGACTGGTGTAAAGAAGGTACAAATAAACATTTATAAATAGGTGTTGAAGTAGGACAGCCACACATTATTCCATTTCATTTACAGTGTTTAGCCTGGTTTAGAAAGTCCACAGTAGGAGCAGTAGTGGACCATAGGGGTGGGTACCTTGCAGTTGTTTTTCAGTACTGGTAATTTTACATAATACCTTATTTTTGATACCAGTAGCCTTTTTAAACAATACTATTTTTAACACAACGCCTGTTTTTCGTTACAAAAAATCGACTGTACATGTACCTTCTCTGTGGGCGTGATCAGGTAAATGGCCTCCAGGCTCGGCAGAGGCTCTCTCCTCTTGTTGATGTCCTCCACAACTGCATGCAAACCCAGATTTTTAAAGTTAGAACCAATGTGGAGATTCCAGAGACCAAAACAAGTACTTGGCTTTCTGATCCAAAGTGAAATTTCTACTGTGGACACTGCAGATACTGTGAGAATATGGTGAAAACTAAAACTTTCATGGACATTTATTTATACAAATAAAACATATTTAATTAACAGCTTTATCAGTTGTAATATGTGGTGTGCCGCCTTCAGTGCCCCTGTGGGTGTTTCAGGAGGCTCAAAGGTAGAGTGGCTGAGTACAGATATGACATTCAACCTAAATTATCCAAAGGCCAGCCAGACCAATTTGGGGGCCCTAGGCAAATTTGAGTTAGGGGCCCTCACTATAATGCACCGTTATTCTGTTTTTTGTTAGTTAGTTAGTTTGTTTGTTTGTTTGTTTGTTTGTTTTATATATTTATTGTCTGTTTTTCCCCTTTGTTCTTGAGTGATGCACATCTCTATTTATTTGAATTATGGTGGATTGGAAACTTGTTTTATTGGTTCAGTCACCGACTAGAAAACCAGAACTTAAGTAGTTTTATTTTTTTGCTAGTACAATTACATTTTTGTTTACATCCATTACATACGTTTTTTATTATTATTATTATTATTATATTCTGAGGCCTCGGCTCTTAGGCAGGGCAGTTGGTAGGGTGCTCCTCCAGGTTTGGGGGCCCTAGGCAGCCACCTACTTTTAAATTACTACTGTACCTCGTGTGCCCAATCAGAAGAAGTGAAGGCTACCTGTCCACTCACAATAAAAGCTTTTAAATATTCTGTAGTAAATAAGAGAGTGCCTGATATTTTTCTTTTTCCTAGTGAACTGTACCCTTTTTCAGGAGCACCGTTAGGCATATGGACACCAGCAGATGCCTGTCTCTGCTGTCATTATGGCCATTATTTGCTAAAGATCCTGTATTATACAAAAATATTATTAGTCTGTCTATATCTCCAAAGCTTAAAATGCTCTGTTCCACCTTGTGATGTCATGAAGCAGTTGTTTTCAAGATAACAGCTCCTTTTACCTTTAGTTCAGTAAATATTTGCAATTCCAGGTTTGAAATAATCCATATGATTCTAGTTATGGTATGTGGAGTTCAAAAACATAGTGGAGCACTTCCTGTATTAGCACATGACATTACACAGTCGAGGTGCTGAGTCTGTTTGAGAGAAGAACTCAGAATAAATGTGCAGGATTTTTTACTTAAATGTGTGTGAATGAAACAAAACACAACTCCAGGTCTGTTTGTGATGAAGAAACAACAATACAACATAGATCAGAAAACAGCATCATATAGGCCCTTTAAAATCATTGACTGTGCGTGTGCGTGTGCGTGTGCGTGTGTGTGTGCGTGTGCGTACTGGTGATCCCCTCTGTCATGATGTCCGTCATCTTGCAGCAGGAAGACAACATCCTCATACTGAGCTGGTCCACGATCAGAGCCTGGGACAAAACACGGCACATTTAGTCCTGTACTTCTGTGTTTATTTATTTAATGGTCTGTTGTGTAACTTTTCTGGTGGAGGGTCCATCAGATGCATGGAGATGTTATTGCTTTGTCTGAAGTGTTTCACAGTATGGTGTCAAATCTTCATGGAGAAAAAAACAGACCAAGATAAGGCTGAATTATAGTTCTGTGTCGACTAGGGATGGGCATGATTAGTCAATTAATCGATAATTGATCATTAAGAATTTCATCGATTACATTCATTTTAATCGACAAACCGAATGTAGGTTGCTGTGCGTAGCATGACCAAACCGGGGTCCGTACATGTAGCTTTCTGCACTCAGAAGGAGCGAGACACAAACAGTCGGTCAGCCTGCAACGTAACCGAAGCACAAATGCATATTTAATGATGACTTGTACAAGAAATTTCATGCGTTCCGTTGCGTTCGGGACAAGTGGGAGGCCATGTGCACGGTGTATGAAGCAGGAACGTATGTTTCTGTGTCCAGTGGGAAAAAGCTTTGCCAGGTGAGAGTAGCGCAATGTCGATGACGAGGCCCCACCTCTCACCCCCCGTACGGTGTCCTGGTTTTGACAAACGCAAATATCGTCACACTAACCTGTATTCCACTGAGTCATGTCTTTTAATCTGACAGAAATTGACCGCATCAGCGACACAAGAGCTGTAGTTTTATCTTTGCTTAGTTTATGCAAATTAGCGATGCAGTTTTAAGTTTCGTTTCTGTGAGAGTTGCGCAAAACTGAATTAAACGCATTATAATGTCAAACAGATTGATGTGGCTCTAGAGTGGTTACGGTTTATATGTCGTAAAGTTGAATTTATTTATGCAGATTAGTAGTGCAGATAGTAATAATAATGATGATCATTTTAATATAAAAACGTTAATGATTAATCAATAATTGATCGTTAATTCTTCCGACGATCAATTAAGAAAATTTCATCGAATGCCCATCCCTAGTGTCGACTCAGCCTCAGCGCACATTATCGCCTTGTCGCCGTCATTTTTGATTTATGGATCTGCGTCGAGGTCTATGTGCTAGTAATAATAATCCACCATCACAACGCTAGGAAGTGAGGATTGTGTTTGTGTTTACAAAATTAAGTGGGAAAGTGGAGAACAGGAAATGTATGTAGAGCAGGTGTAGAGAGGACCAATCACAGCTGTTACTACAGGGGCCACCAAACTTTTTTTCTCTGGGGGCCACATTACCGCTCCTGACTGTGATGGGGCTGGGGGCTGTGGTTGGGTCAGGGCCATTTAACAGAATTATATGACCCAGACCAAAAAGACAGCAGCAGGCCTCACTGTGTATAGAAATTATGAGCCTGGCACAACCATACTACTGAGTTGATACTACATCAACTCATCCTTCCTGCGCGTATTTGTATATTGTTACTAGTGACTTGCAAAAGTAGTAAGTACTTCACACTTTGTTTTCATTTGAAATACCACAGATATTTCATTTATTGCACTAACTGCACTACAGTACTCTGCGTGTGCATTGACTGTCAAGGTTTGATCTCGAGCTTGTCAGGTGATGAAAATTCTGCAGCAAATGTAAATACGTCATATAGTGCTGTCAAACGATAAAAAAAATTGAGAGATTAATTAATTATGATCTGTAATTAATTTATCTAATTAATCTCTTTTTTAATCTCACCTAAAAATTGCTGAGAAAAGCTTCAACTTGAGGTATTTTCATTTGAATTCATTATTACATTATTTTCATACTATTATTAACCTTTTTATATAAGTATCATTATTATTACTATCACTAATCTGCATAAATAAACTCAACTTTACAATATATAAACATCATCACTCTAGAGTCACATCAGCCCGTTTGACATTATCATGTGTTTAATTCAGCTTTGTGCAAGTCTCACAGAAACCAAACGCATGGCTCATTTGCATAAACTAAGCGGAGAAAAGAAAAAAAAAACTCTCTTGTGAAAAAAAAAAACGTTCTTCTGCACTGATGTGATTCAGCTTCTATGACTAAAGGACACGACTCAGTGGAATATAGATGTTCTCTCTGTGACAGAGGGATGTTGATGGTGAAGATGAGTCTGTTCTGTGTTTGTGTCGCGATGTTTTCAGAGATCAGACATGTGCAGGTTTATCGCAGATGCGGCGAGTACGGGAATGAAAATTACAATTCTTTGCGGGAGAGAGCAGAGCAGGACTGTACAGTGCGGGCCTGTGTCCTAACAACACATAAAAACAGATTTTATAATAAGGCAACTCGCGTACAGAAACAGTAAAGTTAGAGGTTAAAAATGAGATTAACGCGATTAAAAACATAACGCGCTAAATATGACTGTAATTAATTCATCGCAATTAACACGATAATTTGACACCCCTAACGTCATATAATAATTTAAATATAAATACTTCATATAAATATCATTTTTAATTGGAAAATTCTACAAAATACAAGATGCAGATGTGTTATTCTTTGCCAAAAAGTTATTGAAAAAATAGGCCATGACAACTTTTGAGGATTGCTTCATAGGGTCAGTTCAAGTGGTGGGCAGAGGGGCTGGGGGCCAGACAAAGGAACATGAAGGGCCAGAGTTGGTCTGTGGGCCTTAGTTTGATGACACCTGCCTTACTGTCTCTATAGTCTGCCTCATTGTCTCTATATACGTCGGTCGACACAGACACTCTGTGGAGGGGGTTTAAGGCGATGCAGATGCTCGATGATTTGACACATGACCATAAATTGGGCTTTACACGTCTAGGGTGACCAGCTTTTCAAAATAAAAAAACTGGGACATCCCTGGTTTGGGTTGGTTGGTAATAATGAAATTGTTCTGCAGTCGGCACTAATGTGAGTCACTACAGTCACATTTTCTTTGTGTTTTGTCATTTTTAAGCAGCTTTTCTGTATTTTACCTCAACAAATGACAATGTATGCCTCTTTTTACTGTTGGCTGGGATCAAATTGGTAAAAAATAAGGACACCTGGGACATTTCTTGTATAAAACTGGGACAAATCACTGGTTTTGTATAAATCAGCTGGGATTGAATAAATGTAAAGCAGAGTCATTTAATGTCATACTGTGGAATATTCCAGGGAGAGCAATGACATATCTATAGAAACAAACAGGTGACGGACCCTCAACCAAAAAGTTACACAGTGCACCTTTAATTACAGTTATTATTTATGCTTTATGTTCAAGTCAAAACACTTTTCGTGTTAACTCACCTTCCATTCTCCCTTCTTCTTAATCTTCTTGATCACATCGTTCATAATCTCTGCAAAAGACAAAAAACAAAAAAATTAAAATACAGAACACGCAAAAGTTGTACGGTGGTTGGTCAGATTCTTTACACCAGATGCCCTTTCACATTACAGTAGTGTTCTGCAAAATTCAGAGTGTTTACCCAGATGAAAACACATACGGATGGCGTGTTTTGCCCAAGGACACAGCGACAGTCGGGGGATGTTGAAGCCTGATTCATGGATCCTGACAGATAGTTCACATATTGTCACCAGTGTGCGTCACTAAAGCTGTGTACTGCTCTGTATCACATCACACGGACAGGCTGTGTGTGGATATTAGTACTTCTATTACATTAGTCACATTTCAACATCTAATGTGTTTAAGATAGTGCTGTCAAGCGATTAAAAAAGTTGAGAGATGAATTAATTATGATCTGTAATTAATTAATCTAATTAATCTCTTTTTTAATCTCACCTAAAAATTGCTGAGAAAAGCCTTCAACTTGAGGTATTTTCATTTGAATTCATTATTACATTATTTTCATATAGTAAGTAATAATAATGATGATGTGATAACATCATCATTATTATTACTATCACTAATCTGCATAAATAAACTCAACTTTACAACATATAAACTGTAATCACTCTAGACTAGAGCCACATCAGCCTGTTTGACATTATCATGTGTTTAATTCAGCTTTGTGCAAGTCTCACAGAAACCAAACTTAAAACCGCATGGCTCATTTGCCTAGTCCTAAACCAGGACTAAACCGGGACTAAACCGGGACTAAATTGGGACTGAAACAGGATTCACTGTCAGGATGGTTTTGGAGGTGACCGCAGGAGAAAGGAACGACAGAGATCTCCACACCTCACAGATGTTAACACAACAATTGCCCGATCGTGCTTTGCTGACTGCACTCAGCGTTCTCTCTCTTAAATCCAAGATTAGTCCTGATTTAGGCCTGGTTTAGTCCTGACCCACCACTGTGTAATTACTACCCACCCGTAATATGCAATATGCATTCATACGCTGTAAAAAAATAAAAATAAAAAATCCAGAAACGGCGAGACCGCGAAAGATGAACTGCGATATAGCAAGGGACGAGTGTATTCACATAACAACCCTGAAATACTCTACCAAAAGTCTATGTTTAGAATACTTTAAAAACTTAATTCACAATCAGTACATTCTAGAAAAACGAATTGCCATGGAGAAATACAAACTGAACAAATTAGTGGAGAATAATGGGAGATGGAATATTTGTTCACTGGTAATCGTAACCATCATCATCACTGTTATTGTTTATTTCTTGTGTTTTATATATGTATTTTATTTGGTAAGTATTGATACTTTGTTAGACTTTAATCTGAGCTTTATTTGAACACAATCTGACCATAAAGAACTGACTGACTGAGCTGGAACTAAAACATGTGAGCTGGTTTGTGCTGTTAAACAAATCTTTCTCAAATAACATTACAGTAACCAGCATTAGTCAGCAGTTTTTCAGTGAGTCATTGTCACGTTTTAGTTAAAATCAAACTCCTAAACATGTTGAACACTCAGACTGATCACACGCTCCTGAAAACTGGCTCATTTTGTGTTAGTTTTACTTACTTTTTGAACTATTTTACTAATTTCTACTTTGCTAATGTGTGCATTGTGTCACCATGGAAACCCCTGAACATTCCGTTATACACATCCATGTAGTACTCCCCCAATGTGATGTCACTGCCAAGTATCATTTTGCAATGCATTTTTTTCCAAACCCATATTTCTGGTGCACATTGTAAACATAAACGTTTGATACAAAGCTGAATATGAAGAGTGGATTCTTGTGTTCGTTTAGCAGCTCAAAAGCACTGAAAGTGAAAAAGAGAAGTGCAGGTGACTGAGCTGTTGTGCTCCACCTCCACACAAGGAGAATGTACTTTTCATGAGAGGACAGACAGAGAGAGCAAAGACAATCTGAGCCTGAAACAAAGTCACTGCTGTTCAGTATACCATGAGAAATACTAACAGCTGCATCAGATCTGTTATGTTTTTATGTTCAGGCAAAAACAGTGCAAAAAAAAAAAAAAAAAAAAAAAAAAAAAGGAAAGGAAAGAGATCCGCACTGCAGTTCTCTGAAGCTCTCAGATTTTTATTTCCGTGATACCACAATGTGAAGTTTCAATAGCATGTCTCTATCTACCAGTTTATGTTCAGACAACTCAAAATCCTCATGAGTTCTGTTACTCCTCACTCTGCCAGATTTCCTCAACCAACACGACTTTATGAGCTGATACCTGACATGAGCACGGACTAAAAGTAGATGGATGTTTTTTATAATACAATGAACCAAATGAACATCCAAATATGCAAATGTACTGTTTTTAGGCAGACAAAATGAGCTACATTTAAGTAGGCTCCATTTTTTTTAATAGTAAAATTATATTAAGTAATTCAAAGTATTGAACTATCCATTTAAAATGTACTTTAGAGTAAAAAAGTAAAAGTAATCCACACAGATTTTGAAAACTATTTAAAGCATCTTGATAAAGAAATGCACTAATCCATCTTTTTTAGCTTCAATATCAATATTGATACTTTGGCTTTCGGTATCTGCTGACACCCGATGTTAACCCAGACTTTTGTAAAGACAGAAAAAGGCATTTTATTACGTTATGAAACACAGTTGACTTACTACTACTACTACTACTACTACTACTAAATATATCGAGTTGTGTTAGTTCTCCAGCAAGTACCTACTGAACATCTTTTTATGAATACAACTTCAAACAATATGAAACATTTTAGGCCAACATTAGTCGGTAATCAGTCTTATACGGGAAAATGTTGTTTTTGTTTATATCCGTTTTTTCTGAACGTGCGCAGTGGCTGGTAGGCAAAAAGTCAGTGGGGCCGTTCGTTTGTGTTGACAGTTGTGTTGCGTTTGTCTGTCATGAGATAACTCGTCTTATTTAGAAGTAGGTTTTGCATTTAAAAGTTTTGGCGTGACTTCATCATCTTACTCTGTCACTGAATGTTGAGGATCAAAAATGTTACTTTGAAAAGTTAAAACTCGCCGATAATTGTTAACGATGTTGATGTTGTATTATTGTACGACACTGTTGATGTTGTACTGTTGTATGACGATTGTTGATGTTGTACGCCGATAACTGTTGACAATGTTGATGTTGTACTGTTGATGTTGATTTGTTGATATGGACACTTTTTGCCTACCAAAATGGCGGCTGCTCCGGACATGACATCATCATGTTTTCTCATATATCTGATATTTCTCAAAATATCAGCTGAACTGGTATCGTGGAACCGATACCAGATATCTGCACCAGTATTCAATACCAGTATCGGTACAGATGCTGCCCTCTCAAAAATCTGTGCTAAAATATAAACTCCAGGCCAGGTGGTTACAAGAGCACAGCCCCAGAGAGAGGCCGAGAACTGTGAGTGACCTCCTCTGCGACATGAGCACAAAGAACAGGCCTATATTCTGCTCCATACACACACACGCACACACACCCCCGCACGCACACACACGCACACACACGGAGACCCACCACACTGCAATGTCTGCACAAGTCTAGACACAACACTGACCAAACAGAACCACGACGCAATCTTTTCTCTCGACTCCTTAAGAAGCCTGAGTGTTAATAATCCAACCAGGAAAACAAGCTTTTCCTCTAGTCACTGCCCGCCAATCACAGCCAGCCATTTGTCTCATCACTCCTCAAGCCATTTCATCACTCTACCATTTTAACATCCAGCTCCTTCATCAGTCTCCTTAGCCTCCTCATCTCCTCTTCGATTCACAATTTTAGTTTTTATCGGTGTAATGTGAATCAGAAAAGTGTTCATTAAACTGAAAATTGGAGCTTTATAACTTGTGTTGTTTATAGCCCTGTTCCCTCATCAGAACCTGCCTGTAGAGATTAGATGTCCTCTATGCATGTTTGAGTAATCTAGCGATCTTTCCCGGGCTCTATTCAAGCCTCAAACCTATGTCACCCTTGCTCTCACACGACAATCTTCCATAAATATACAAAAGCAGGATACAAAACGACACACTACAACTTCACAAACCTGATGCGATGTGCCTCCTTTAATACTTGTCAGTTGGAAAGAGTTCTGAAAAGTGATATTACTTTGCTGTAATCTAACTACTTGTTTGTGGGGAGGCAGAGCGGAGGAGAACAGAGGAGAACAGAGGAGAACAGAGGAGAGCAGAGGAGAACAGAGGAGAGCAGAGGAGAACAGAGGAGAAAAGAGGAGAACAGAGGAGAAAAGAAGAGAACAGAGGAGAGGAGAAAAGAAGAGAACAGAGGAGAGGAGAAAAGAAGAGAACAGAGGAGAGGAGAAAAGAAGAGAACAGAGGAGAGGAGAAAAGAAGAAAACAGAGGAGAGGAGAACAGAAGAGAACAGAGGAGAAAAGAGGAGAACAGAGGATAGGAGAACAGATGAGAAAAGAGGAGAGGAGAGCAGAGTAGACAAGAACAGAGGAGAGCAGAGCAGTGGAGAGAGGAGAACAGAGGAGGGAGGGAGGGTTGGGCAGACAGAGGAAGGAGCTGAGCAAACACAGGCAGCAGCTGAGTAAACTGATGCTCCACAAGACACAGCTCCACACAGGACGAGCACTGAGGGAGCACCGACACTATCCACAGGTTAAGAGAGCAGAAGCTAGCCACTAGTCTAACATTTCATTTTGATGTTAACAAGAAAACATGTCATTACTTTGATATTGACCTATGGCGATTTTGTTTTTAGATAGATCATCGGATGTTTCATACAATAACTGTCTGCAGCCTGCACTCATACTGTTTAAAAAAAGTAAAAACAATCACAATTGAACCTGTGTCTCCAGAGTGTTCACCTGTAGATTGAGACACATCCAACTGTGTCTCATTCTCAGTTTATGGACAGAACATGACTCACGTGAAGCTCAGAACCTCCTGAATTCCCTCCCTTAGCTGCAGAGGCTGCACTAGCACTGACTCAGGATTGGAGCAGGTGCTGGGGTTTAAG